GGAACAGTGTTGTAAATACAACTTAACCACTGATTTCTAGTCGTGTCCTCTTTTGGAAGGCCAAACAAAGTAGTTTCGCTTTCACAACGAAACACACAGCGTCTTCACGGCATGGCGGCGGCGGCAACAATACTACAGTGAGACTAAAAGTTACGCCTTCTTTCTTTGCGTGAACATTTGGGCGGCGTTATGCAAATCTTCCCACATCGTGACGTAGACATGTGGGGGCGTGTTAGAACGAGCCGTTTTAGGTAGGTGTGGCTGACTCTGAACTTTTATAAAGAATATATCTTTGGATTTGAGACTTTAGTCTTTGCAACTTTCCAGATCTTCTTTATGCACCAAGAGCTTGTAACACTCCAAAGGAAAAATTTAAATAGCATCATATGACCCCTTTAATAAGTGGGGTTATACGAGCCTGTTTAAATGCTGAGGGGAAACACCAGTGTGAAGGGATGTGTTAATGATGTGAGTGAGTGCAGGTACAACGGCAGGAGAAATGGCTTGAAGGAGATGAGATGGAATAGGATCAAGCGGACAAGTATGCAGGAGAAATGGCTTGAAGGAGATGAGATCAAATAGGATCAAGCGGACAAGTAGTAGGATGATTAGAAAGGATGAGTTTAGAGACTTCTGCCTCACACACACACACACACACACACACTAACACACTGACACATACTAACACACTCACACACACACACATACTCACACTCACACACACACACACACACACACACACACACACACACACACAATGCTGCTGCCCTGCAGGAGGCCGGATGTGCGCCGGCCCTTCATTAGACTCATTAAGATAAGACGCCACTTCACCATTTGTATTCTCCATCAGCATCAGACCGTGCGTCTCCTCCAAACACGCTCACAGTAAAACACACACCATCACGAGATCTTGATTCTGACCTGCAGAGCATGTGTGTGATTATCAAACTCTTGCATGATGTTGGACTGATGGACACATCATGAAGGTCCAGATCTCTGAGACTTCTGACATTTTAAATGAGCTTCTGTTTGTGGCTCGTTGTCAGTTTCGCGGTTTGACGGTTTAATAGTTCTGACTATAAAGAACAGAAGAGTGCTTGTGCCTTAAAAAAAAAAAAGTATTCATGGACAGCTATAAAAACACCATCACCTCACTGCTGTCTCACACACACACTCTTATACACTCTCTCTCAAACACACACACACGCATGTACAGGAGCACAGAAAATACAAATTGATGAATATTAAAATACTAAAAATAAGGATGTTTGGTGTAAATCAGCATATGGTGTGTATGTGTGTGTTTGGGTTTGTGTGAGAGTGTGTGTGTGTGTGTGTGTGTGTTTGTGAGAGAGTGAGTGTGCGTGTTTGTGTGTGAGTGAGTGTGTGTGTGTGCGAGTGTGTGTGTGTGTGTGTGTGTGCACAGCTGGTGTTTGGACTGAACCTGCGTGATGTATTTTGTCTTTGGTGAGAGCGATAATTCGTTGCACTAATTGGTTGAATTATTGGTCTTTGTTACGCCTGTGGAGTATTAACATGGCTTCACTCTCTCCCTCTAACACGAGTGTGTGTGTGTGTGTAACCTGATCAGTAAAGCTGTGAGCTGCTGACAAGAGTCCAGAGCTGATGAGGGTCAAGGGTTGAGGTGCAGATTGTTATCGCGGTCTCTGGTTTCACACTCATTCACTAGTGTGTGTGTGTGTGTGCGCGCGCGTGTGTGTGTGTGTTCTTCTGAAGCTGGTGTGACTTGCGTTCATATATGAAGGCTGAATGTATGCATGTATGTGTGGAGGTTCTGACTCTCACCTGATGTCATGAGGGAGTCCAGACTGCTCCAGACTGTACTGAATAACTGCTAGCTTGCATAAAGTCTTCAGATTAGGACCTAAAAAACACAGCAGCACAAACTCAGTAACACTAACAAGCCTAACCAGACCCATACTTCTACCTACAGATAATAATCTAGAGCTGTTTATCAGAATGAATGTTTTAGTCGGTCAGCGGTCTGCGAGCGGACAGCCTAACATGGGCTTCCGCTGACGCTCACGTGAGTCCTGACGGCCGCAGGAGCAGAAGGTGATGCCAGAGCCGAGCGTCTGAAGCGCTTCCCTGCTCTATTTTTCACCTGCTCCTGTGGAGCTGCTCTGGACGCGCTGCCAAAGGAAGCGCCTTTATTTGGTGCCGGATGCACCTCGCCGAGTCCGTCTGCCTCAGAGAGAGAGAGACAGAGAGAGAGAGAGAGAGAGAGCGAGAGAGAGAGAAAGAGAGAGAGAGACGGGGTTCTGCGTACTCACCCGTATGACTGACCGACCTCACTGCTAGAGCCCTACTGAATCCAGTCAGAAAAATATGCTGGAAGCATAAATGAAGAGTAGGGCTGTGCACGCGATCAAACGGCGATACAGACGAGTGTGTGTGAATATTAAAGCACTGCTGTGTAAATGTGCATGTAAAGCAATAAATAAAATATTAAGTTGTTAAAGTTTCAATTGAGTAGACATGCCTCTTAATTATTAATCAATTACATTTAATAAAAACATTAAATTAAATTCAATAGCATTAAATTGAAATCCAGAAAAATTCAAATGGAAGACACCGAATTTACATTTACATTTAGTCATTCAGCAGACGCTTTTATCCAAAGCGACTTACAAATGAGGACAATAAAAACAATCAAAATCAACAAAAGAGCAATGATACACAAGTGCTATAACAAGTCTCAGTTAGCTTAACGCAGTACACGTAGCAGGGTTTTTTAAATTATATAATAAATAAAAAGAAAACGAATAGAATAGAAAACGAATAGAGCAAGCTAGTGTTAGAGGTCTTTTTGCTTTTGTTAATTGTATAATAAATAAAAAGAAAGTGTAGGGTTTTTTTTTAAAGAAAACAAGCAGCAAATGAATAAGAGTGCAAGTCTAAAAGGGACAAGTGTTTTTTTGTTTTTTTTAAAGAATAGAATTAGAATAGAGAGTGCTAGAGTTAGAGGGTCAAATAAAGATGGAACAGATGTGTTTTTAGTCGTTTCTTGAAGATGGTTAAGGACTCAGCTGCTGTTTTCCACCAGGATGGAACAGTTAATGTAAAAGTCTGTGAAAGTGATTTTGTGCTTCTTTGAGATGAACAATAAAGCGACGTTCACTTGCAGAATGCAAGCTTCTAGAGGCACATAACTCTGAAGCAATGAATTTAGGTAAATGGGTGCAGAACCAGTGGTGGTTTTGTAAGCCAACATTAATGTCTTGAATTTAATGCGAGCAGCTACTGGTAGCCAGTGCAGATTGATAAACAGAGTAAAAAAAATAACCTATTTCATGGGACCCTAAATATGTAATTTTTGTAAATTGTTGTTAAATTGTATGTAATTTTCAGAATTTCGATTAATTAGACATTTTTAATCAATTTAATTTAACCAAAAAAAAAAAAAAAACAATTTGGAAAATAAAGGCCGCCAAATTCCTTTTGGAATTTGAATCACGTCATGCTGCTCTTATTTTAGCTCCTGTAACGTAAGGGTTAATCCACGGCACACATATGAAACCCTTTTAATGCAGCACCTGACACGACGAGAACACTAACACTTCAGCTAATGACTACAAGCATTCATTATGATAACGAGGCACTGAGATCACACTGAGAGACGGTCAGACTCACTGAAGTCCAGGAGGTACAGGTCCGAATGGTCCATGAGGTTGAACTCGTCGCCCATCCCCTGCTCCGGACACGGACTGAAACACAAGAAAACTCAGCACAACAATCCCATAATGCTTCTTCATCAAATGCCATGAAAACGCTCTGATTGCATGACTTTATTTCTAGAAATTCTCAATTTTATTTATTAGAAATCAGAACAGGAGCAAAAGTCTGGAAACACAAACTTCTTCCATTCTCTGTCTTCAGTAGAGCTGAACTTGTTTCTTAATGAATGCACTTTACACAGTTATTGAACTGAATTGACTGGAGCAGAATAATGATAATATTGTCTTGCCACAGCTGCTTCACAGCAGAATTTTGGATTCATTTTGCATCAATGATTCTATTAATTTCCTGTTTATTACTGTAAAGCTGCATTGAAACAATCTCTATTGTATAAAGCGCTATATAAATAAATGAGACTTTCTTTTTTTGCATGCTTATCCAGACCTGGAAATCACTACAATCAAATCCCATACGTTTCCATTCTGTTTATGCACCCTGTGTCTTAATGTGATGATGGTATGAATATGCAGATGTCTGGTTCAGATCTCCTGCTGACGGTTCACCAGTCAACACTAGTTGGGTTTAAACGCACAATCTTTCAGTTTCCCGCTCAGATCTTCAACACGGCCGCTCTCTTCGTCTCATGTTACAATATTGCTAAAAGAGGAAGCTGTAAAGCACACACACACCTTATCAGGCACAAACACACACAGGACCTGCAGGAAACGCTGGAATATCTCACACAAACATCTGCTTCCTGCTGACACACCTGCACTGAACACCACTTTCATCATCATCATCATCATCTGGAGACCCGTCCCGAACCGCAGCTCCGTCATCCTCCGGTATCTGAGTGCAGGACGTCGTTGGGATTTTACGTTCCTGATCTTGCTTAAACAAACAGGCCACCAGTTTAAAGGGAACCAGAGTGGTTTGGGTCTCGGGAGGCCAGCTGTGGAGCTCATTACACCCCCGACCCACCGGGAGGTCAGCAGCCCGGATTACACCGAGACCTTTATCAGACCCGCCGGCCGTTACATTAACGTACGCACGCTCCTATTTATTTACCTTCATCTGCGGTGTGCTGCTCAGAGTTAATGAAACGTGCCCTATGAACCCTGAGAACACAACAAACACAAACCACAGACTCACAGAGACACCAGAGCATCAGAGAAGAGCAGAGGACTCATCTCAGCACGACACATTCACAGATTTCACTGTGCTTCGTTAACGCTGAACCTCACTGGTGAAACTCCGGCAGAACCAATGTGCACTTCATTCATACAATGACATCAAACACAAAATCAATAATTAATCCGAGTCCATAATCCATAATAACTCTTCCTGCAGTGAAAAAGTGCATCTCCTGTTGTCTCTCACATCAAAATCCAGCCATATATTTGTTTAGAGCTGTTTAAACTGATTCTGTTATTTTCCTGTTTATTTCTGTGAAGCTGCTTTGAATTAATCTGTATTGTATGAAGTGCTATAGAAATAAAGGTGACTGGACAGATTGAGTCTCGGTATGTTGAGTTCTGCTGGTTTCCAGTAGCAGAAATGACTGAATGATCACAGACTGACAGCAGCCGGATGATAAAGACAGCAAGCGGCTCTGATCCGCTCTGAACCCTCAGAGAGACAGACAGAAACAGACAGACAGATAGACGGGTCAGCGGTGAGACAGCGATGTGACCAGAGCGCCTGACGGTGTGAAAGTGTTTTGTGAGTTTATGAGGTTTCCTGGTGTTTGACGACTCATTTGTGTTACATGATCAGCAGAGTATCATTGAGGAGCTTCCTCCCACTGCACACACACACACACACACACACAGACACACACACA